ACAGAGGGGGTACTCGGGGGCAGATCCATCCCTGGGGACGTTGTGATCCAGGTAACACTGGGTGGGAATGGAAATCATGGCATAACTCAGTGGGATTTTGTTGTATTTTTTCACCACGGGGGGACAAAGCCCCCCTCTGCCGGGAGGAGCAGCAGCTCCTCTCTGCTGCCCGCCGAGGTACCTGTTTAAGCACTTGGGTCTCGTTGGCATCTTCCAGGAGGAAAATAGGGAAGTCAAAATCCTCGTAGGAGATGCCACTGCCCAGGGGGTTCCACACGGTGGTGTTGCAGTGAGCGAACTCGGGGCCGTAATCCTTGGAATACACACCTGGGAACGGGGAGAACGGGCCGATCTGAGCCTGCAGCAGCAGCAGCAGCAGCAGCAGAACAGAGCTCAGGAGGTTTGGGGTTGGACAATCCCAACCCTCTGGCACGGGCAGGGACACCTTCCACCAGCCCAGGCTGCTCCAAGCCCCTCTGTGTGTCATTAATGACACTGCTCCCAGTTTGGTCCCCCCACGAGGGTCACCCTGATGTCCAGTGGGACCCTGACCACGACCCTCTGGATGTGACATTCCAACCAACCCCAACCACTTTTTTTCACCACCTAAAAAGCCCACCCATCAAATCCACCCCCTTCCCTGAGCCCATCCCGTGCTGGAAGAATCCCAAGTGTCGCTGCCATTTCAGCTCCCCCCCCCAAAAAGATCCTTCGCGCTTCCTCGGCCCATCCAAGGAAAAGGCACCATTCCTCCCTCCCCCCACCCAGCAGATGGAAGATCTCCTCACCAAACCCATCGTTGGGGCACTTCAAGCCAGGGGAGAACCCCTGGGGAGGGCTGGGGTTGGCGGCGGCCACGGCGAGGCCCGACACTCGGGAGGTTCCCTTGAGCTGCAGCAACACCTTCCTGGAGGAGGGAAAACACCCCAGGAATGAGGGATTCACTAAGGAAGAGCTGCAATCCCACACTTGATGATGATGATGATGAATTGCAATCGAGCTTGTGATCAAATTAAGCTTCGGTTTTTATCTCAGAACTGAGCTTATTGTGAAAAAAAAAAGCAACAAGAGGAAAAATTCAGCCACGTCCTTCCTGCTCTGCTCAGGGAGAGAAGGGACCCCTCAGTGCTGGGGTTTAATTTTAATGCTGTAATTAATTTACAGGCTATTATTTCATGGCCTTTAGTAGCTGCTGTGGAGGTGAACAGGGTGTGAGGAGCTCTTTCCACACCAAAGATAAGAAGAAAAAGTCACTAAACCCCAGTAAAAACCACGAATGGTTCGACTTCACAAGAACTGGGGGGCAGTCAGAGCTGACTCTGTCACCTGCCAGTTAAAAAAATGACATTTAATCATCAGATCAACAGACTTCTGGGCTCCCTGGGGAGACAAAAGCAGGTGCTGACTGACCTGTTGAAGAGGTTGCCATCCAGCAAGATCATGTAGGGCGGGTGAGGACCATCAGCCAGGACCCAGCGCAGATCCTCCTCCTTCTCCACCACATGGATCACCCCCGTGTCCCCGCTGATGGAGGCTGTGGGATGAGAACAGGCCCTCCATGGGATTTATTTCCTCCACCCCCCCAAAAAAAAACCACCCTGGAAAGCAGTGCCAGACTCCTCCCAGTGACAGCACAAGGAGGGAAGGCCATAAACTAAACCTCAACAAGTTCCACCTCAACATGAGGGAGAACTTCTTCCCACAGAGGGTGGAACAGCTGCCCGGGGAGGGTGTGGAGTCTCCCCCTCTGGAGTCATTCCAACCCCACCTGGACGTGTCACCTGCTCCGGGTGACCCTGCCTTGCGCTGGGTCATCTCCAGAGGTCCCTTCCAGCCCCAGCTACTCCGGGATTTCTCCAAAGATGGCCAAACCACTTTCCACACGACGCTGCTGATAAAACCAAGCCCTCTGACCACACCCACAATCCGCTGGGAACTCCCAAGCCTGGATGTCCCAATGCCAGGATCAGGTCCCGGGTGGCAGAGGAGTCAGAGGACCTTGGACCCTGGGTTATCTACCACAGGTTGCCCAGAGAAGCTGTGGCTGCCCATCCCAAAGCCAGGCTGGATGGAGCTCTGAGCCACCTGGGCTAGTGGAAGGTGCCCCTGCCCCAGTGCAGGGGGTGGAACGGGGCGATCTTTGAGGTCCCTTCCGACCCAAACTATTCCACGATTCATTATCAGCAGGATTAGGAGGCGCAGGGAACAAGGGGCACCGGGAGGGTTCCTCACAGCCCCCCACCCAGGCCCAGGACCCCCCAGTGGGCTCACACTGGCAGCCGATCTGGTGGGTGGCGTTGAGCAGCCGCACGCAGGGGGCCGTCCTGTTGAGGGGGATGTAGATCTTCCTCTCCACGGAATTCCCACGGCAGGAACCTGAGGAGGAGGAGGAGGACGGCACGGCCACGGCTCAGGGGGGAGCTCTGAAGGGGGTGGGGAGGGGTCTGAGCCCCTTCCCCAGCTTACAGGGGGCACCCAAAGGGGTCAATGGGGGGTACAAGAGCCCACCCTCAACTCAGAGGGGTCACCCAAAGGGGTCGATGGGAAGGAGGGGACACAAGACCCTCCCCAGCTCACAGGGGGCACCCAAAGGGGTCAATGGGGGGTACAAGAGCCCCTCCCCAGCTCAGAGCGGACACCCAAAGGGGTCGAGGGGGGTACAAGAGCCCCTCCTCAGCTCAGAGGGGTCACCCAAAGGGGTCGAGGGGGGTACAAGAGCCCCTCCTCAGCTCAGAGGGGACACCCAAAGGGGTCGATGAGGGGTACAGGAGCCCCTCCCCAGCTCAGAGGGGTGTCCCAAAGTTGGGGGGGTGAGGGTTCCAGCCCCCTCCCAAGGTTGGGTGGGTGAGGGTTCCAGCCCCCTCCCCAGCTCAGAGGGGTGTCCCAAAGGGGTCGATGAGGGGGTATAGAAGCCCCTCCCCAGCTCAGAGGGGACACCCAAAGGGGTCGAGGGGGGTACAAGAGCCCCTCCCCAGCTCAGGGGGGTGTCCCAAGGTTGGGTGGGTGAAGGTTCCAGCCCCCCCCTCAAGCTCAGAGAGGCACCCAAAGGGGTCGATGAGGGGGTACAGGAGCCCCTCCCCAGCTCAGAGGGGTGTCCCACGGTTGGGGGGGTGAGGGTTCCAACCTCCCCCCT